TTTTGAGATATTTTAGTGAACTTTCAAAAGCAGCTCCCTTGGATCTATCATCCCAAGGCACTCCAGAGACAGTTTAGAGTGCAAGAACTAAGAAATATAAATTATTTTCTATGTTCATTCCCCTTTCCAGTGAAACAATACTGTAAATCTTTTGTCACAGTTAAATTCCCTGTGCAATATTCTGGCTTTTAATATTGAGCAGAGGAACTGAATGTGCTGACCTTATGAGATGAAGGACATTTAAATCTGACACCCTATAGTTAGCACTGAATACTGCTTGCCCGCTTATGTAGCAATGGAATTGAACATAAAGGTAACAATAGTTTTTTTTTTTTAATCTTGCTTTCAGAGCCTTTTATGTCCTGAAGTTGTCATATGCACAGCATCATGCATAAATGGAACTCAAACTCTTAATGAATTGATAATATGAGCTACCAAACATCAAAAGATGGCAAAAAGTATGGATCATCCTAGAATACTAACTGGAGATAGTAAATAATTGTTTGAATGGCAATTTAAACTCCTCTTGTACTATTGAGATATCTTATAGAACGGTGATGGTGAACCTTTTAGAGACCAAGTGCCCAAACTGCAACCCAAAACCCACTTATGTATCATCGGGTGCCGGATGGGCATGGCCCATTGGATGGGTGTAGCTGCGGTGGTAACGGCAGACTGGGTGGGACTAAAAAGTTCAATCAATCATTTCCAACTTTGCGAGACCTTTTTTTTTCCAAGCGAGAAGTTGAAATTGATTGATTGATTGAACATTTTTTTTTTTGCACATGGCAGCAGAGGCCTAAAGTGAAAAGGTTTTATAAAACCCAGCTGAAGGCCTAGGACTGGGGTGACGGCACGCATGCCCACAGAGAGGGCTCTGTGTGCCACCTGTGGCACGTGTGCCATAAGTTCGCCACCACAGTTATAGAACTAATACTTCTAACATGAAATCCTTTCTAGAGCAAATGTATTACATATTTAATCAATTAAAGTTTTAATAAAACATTAAAGCTATCTGAGAATGAGGCTAGAAACAGAAATGGAGCAAATGGATTTGCTCCACTGATACTTTTATTTTAAACAATGGGTTGTCTACATTGTAGCTTTTTTGTTTGCATGTTTTTATGCATGCATGCATCTGTCTTTCTGTCTGTCTCATTTCTAGAACCCCTTGACTCCAGAACCATTCTGGGCAGCTTGTAAATTGAAAAGAAAAAAGAAAAACTGGAAATTCACAAAATCCCTTTTATAAAGGGGTCTGGTAGTCACCTAACCCAACCCCAAAAGCCAAGTTTTCAAGACATGTTTAAAGGCATGCAGGATAGTGGCATTTTGAATTTCTCAGGTGGCTGCTACTTAGGTTACACCGTTTAGTCAATGGAACCCAGAACACGAGAGTTCTATCTGACTGTACAGAATGGGCAGAAATCATGAGAGATGATCCCTCAGGTAAGTAGGCTCTATGCCATGTAGAATGCTATAAAATGATAACTGCATTTTGAATCGCACCCAGAAGCTTAGTGGTAACCAGTACAATTTGCAGAACAGAGACGTTATATGAATATAACAAGACCTGCCCATAACTGCTCATGCGGCCCCATTTTCCACTAATGGCAATGACTCTGGGTGTGTTACATTAAAGCCAACAAAAATAAATCAACAATCCAGATAATAAATGACCAACTAATTAAATTGATAAAAAAGTAAAATCGACTTAACCAGCAGAAACTGTTTAACCTCCCCATCCATATGCCTGGGGAGTAGCCAGGTTTTTAATGACTTATGAAAGGCTAAGAGGTCAAGGCCATTCCTATCTCGAGAGGGATGCTGTTCCACAGAGCAGGCATCATAACATATAGTAGCACTCCTGATTCCACATGTCATCTCCCAGGTGGCCTTCCGTAGCCAGAAGGAACAGGATCTAGCAAACAGGTGGTCAGAGAAACAACGCCAAGGATTCTATCCATTTTCTTATTTTTTTTTTAAATATATTTTATTGGTTTTATAGTTTTAACAAAAAGTGTTTAAGACATACCGTGGTGTTTGGGTAAACAAATATTCCAACATAAAATCACACAATAACAGCTCAACTTAATACATTCGCTATCATCTCTCTATTTCCCTCAAGTAACATAGTAAATTTAATATATTTCATTTCTATCCTAAATTTCTATTACTACTAAACCTGTTTATTAAAACTTTAAATCAATTTCAATTACCATAATCAGATAGTGTTTTACATCAACATATTATCACTTCAAATACCTCTTGAAAATATATTCAAGTTCTTAATCCCTCTCATCCCTTTTTTATCACCAATCTTATTTATTTCTTCTTCCAATAATAACTAGTTTAGTTAAAAAAAACCAATATTATCATATCTTATCAAATCGTATTATTATACACAAACATCTCTTAAGTAATTAAACATTACACATGTATATAGTTATAGTTTTCTTACTTCTAAATCTAAATCATTATCCTTAACCTTTCAGCCAATAAGTCCATTTTTGTTACTTATAGTAGTCTTTGACTTAATTCATTTCCATTCATTAAAGAAACCAAATTCCATCCAATTAATTATCATACCATATCAAAACGTATTACTTTACACAAAAATCTCCTAATTAATTAAGCATTTCAAAATTCCAGTCTAAATTAATCTATTATTCCAAGGAATGCATTCTTAGTCTCTATAAAGTTTCTTTTTTCACTCCACATTTAACTTTCATATTTCCATATCAAATTTAGTCATCAAACTAAACACACATACTGTAAATATAATTGTAGATGTCTTACTTCTAAATCTAAATCATTATCCTTAAAACAATCCATAGAACCAACATTGCCTTTTAATCCATTAAACAGTTTTTACTAATTTAAACACGCATGTATATAATTGCATTTTTCCATTCTAGATCATTATTCTTAAAACAATCCATGAAGTCAACATTGCCTTTTACTCCATTAAAGATTTTTAAATTTGTTTTTCAGTCTAATTCTGGGTTTCTTTCTATGCCACACAGGCTTCCATAAAAACGCTTCCCTTTCAACCAATAAATCCATTCTCAATGCCTGTAATAATCTTTGAGCAAATATACGTCCCTTTCTCTGCAGTAAACGTCTTTTTTCTCTTTCAACCAATAGATCAGTTCTTATTGCTTATAGTAGTCTTTGAGAAAGTATAAATCTCTTCCTCTGCAGTAAACGTCTTTTCCTGTTCTCTTTGCGATATAGTTCCGGTTCGCGGCATCACTAGTCGTACGGAGAGACTCCTCTCCTCTTCGACTAGGTTTCCCTTCGTCGGTGGACCCTTATACGGGTCCAAAGTTGCCCTGGAGGGTGCGACTTCTGTCGACGAGGCTGCGGTCCGGCTGCAGAGGAGCAGCGGCTCCTCCAGCTGTCCGGATGAATCTTTGAGGGCAGACGGAGAAGAAGCTCGGCCATGAAAATGGCCGATTGCCCTGCCACTTCAGACCATAAGTCAGAAAACATCTAAGCTTTTAGTGCCCCCGTGGTGAATCCGGGTGAGAATTTTTTCTTATTTTTCTCTCTATTCCCATTTTTTCTTTGTTTGTGTGCCTGTAAAGAGCTTTTGAAATTATTTCCCTGGCTTGAAAAGGCGGCTTCTGCTTTTTTGTGAGGAAGAAAGGCATTTTACAAACACTGAAAGGCTATAAACTAGATACGAAAAAGGGAAAAAAAGAAGGAAAAAGTTTCCTCTCTCCTTTATTTTTAAGAATGTTATTATTTCTATTGTTTTATATATATACATATTATACCTTAAAAGATAGGAAAAAAAAGAATTGATTTTTGGAAAAGATTTTCCTAACTCACTGAGGACATCTAGTGGCGAAAATATAATATTGTAACTGCTTATTTTTTTATGAACTTCAAACATTAAAGATAAGCTGTGCACCTGTGAAGCTGTGGGGGTGGATGTTTTTACATTAAACAAAGCCTCTACAAAAAAGAAAAAGAGATTTCCTTTTAAGAGTATTAAAATGGAGAAACCTCAGATACAACTGAACTGTGCACTTATATTGGAAAAGATTTATGAGGCCACTGCAGAAATTTGTGCTACATTTAAAAACTGTACTTTAGAATTAAGATCCAGAGATTCTACTACATTTGCTCAAACTGATGTCCAGGTTACAACTGATCATGTCATAAATCAAAATGTACCAGAAGAGGAATATACAGAGATAGAAGTGGAATTTATTTCATCTGACAATCCCCTCTTCAGCAACTTAGAGAACCAGAAGAAGCAAAGACTAAGACTTCAAAATACAAAGCATCTATCCATTTTCTTATGAGACACCGAATCAAACACTATCAATGAACTGAGCAAAACCAGGCCTTCATCACCTTGATCTGAATAATTCAGTCAGTCCAACTCTGAACCACTTTATTCACCAATGTCTAGAGCATTTTTTCTCATTGTCCACTAGATTATAGTATGCTATGCTCCATCCTTCCATAAAAAAGAATTTGTGACCTGAAAAAAGGCCACTGGATCTTCAGTTCAGAGGAGATTTCTACAAATGTAATGATGAGAAAGAAGAATCTTTGCAGCCCGAAGGCTCTTCTACTTCTTCATAGATTTCAGAGATTTTCTGGAACAATGCCAGAAGAGGTTGAGGGACCTTCAGGAGAATAGAGATTGCTGAATTTGACCAGACTATTATGAATCATGGAAATTTTACCAATTGTCAGCTCCCATTAACTTTCTTGTAGCTCAAGAGGAGCAAACCTTATATTTATTCCACTCAAAGGTGCAAACTTGTGAGTTCTGGACCACAGTGCTGGACAAGAAGTAGTAGTCTTGTAGTTCATGCAAAGTTTCCTTATGCTTATTTTGGAAAGAAAAGAGCTCCAAATCAGGTCTTTAAAACACAATATAGTTTGAATTCCAGAATATATCACCTTTATCCCAAAATGTATGGGTTTTACTAAATCTCTTATGTTTGACAGTCCTCTGTTTTAAAGAGAATACTTACATCAACATCAAGTTCACATCTTGAGTTGGTCCATCCAGGATTACAGCTGCATCGATATCCATCTATGAGATCAATGCATCTGAAAAAGAAAGTACAGTTTTATGTACAATCCAAAATAATCTTTGTTTTTGAGAAGAAATACCAAGCATATTATTTTGCTAGACCTGTAACATCTTAGATTAATTCTGATATGTTTTGATTTCTGAGATAATGATCTATTATTCATACAAGTTTCTATTGAAAACCCTTCCTGAAGTATTTTCACTGCATACATATTGGCCTCTGCTCTGCAAAACCAACCAACTAGCCAACCAAAACTTATTTCAACCTGCTGGAATGAAAAGAATGGGAAACCAATGTTAAATATATTAACATCTAATTTCAATCAGTTATTGAAAATTACTGTATGTCATTACATTGAAATGTAAGAAGCAATAAGATAATGTACCACCATATTGCACTAGCTTAAACTGGCAACATTTGTTATCCATTTAGCTGTGCCTGTGCTTTGATTCTGTGAAATAATATAATTAGAAATATCTGCAACAACCTTTCTTGATATTCAATTTTCAACATTGCTAGCCCTTTTTTAAAGAACAGGGTAACAAAAATATATATATATATAAAGAATCACCTTCCATGAATACAGGGTGTTGAGGAACATTCATCAGTATTTGTTTCACATTTTATGCCAGTAAAACCACGTTGGCAAAAACACTTGTAATAGTTGATGTGATCAACACAGGTTCCATTGTTGAGGCAAGGTGCTGAGACACACTCATCTATATCCACTTCACACTGTTTACCTGAAACACAGTTTTATAAATGGAGAAGTGAAATTTCTTTGTGTCCTGTTTTGAGTCTTTGAGAGAGGACTTTATCAGGTTTTTTTTTAAAAAAAATCCTTTTGTATGCATAATCTTTTAAAAGAGCCTAAATACAGGCCTGCAATCTACTTTACAGTTAAGTTACCATACACAATAGTTCTTTTTTTCCTTAAAGAAGCACAAAATTCTTTGAATGCTATAGGTGCAACTGAAAATATGAGAAATTATTATTTGTTATATTATTTTCACTTAACAAGAAGCTTCCCCTTTTATCTTATCAAAAGAACATGAGCACAAATAGAAAGTAACTCCAGTGTATGTGTGTATGTGTGTGTTTAAAACACAAGTAAAATTGAAAGGAGCTTCCACTAGGAATTGAAGATAGCGTTCAACTATCTTACATATTTTTAATTTCACAGTAGCCTTAGAAGGTCAATCTAAAAAACATAAGGTGACCAACCATCCTCCTTTAGGGAGGACAGTCCTCCTTTTGTAAGTTCTGTCCTCCCTTGAAAAGTGTCCTCCTACATATCCTCCTTTTTGATATTTAAAGACTAATCTGCAGGGCTTTTTCTTCTCATAAAACGCTCAGAACGGCGTTCCGGCACCTTTTTTTTGATGTTTTTTTTTCAACTTTTGCATGAGCTATGCTACTCCCCCTATTGGCTTTTGAAAGCCAATAGGAATTGCTGCTTAGCGTGCCAAAACACCTGGCCGGCAAACTTTGCACATGCAAGTTGTCTGCAGCGAAGGCGAATTGGCAGGAACTTTGCACCCCTCCCTGCTACCCAACTACACCATCTCCTAGTTAGTTCCGAAGATACCTGGAGGAGACTGGAGTGGTAAGTTTCTCTTGATCTTCGTCTCTGCTAGGGCAATAATGGCTGTGGGCGCAAGAGGAAGGAATGGTGGGGGTGCTGCGAGCGGGGGTGTGAAGGGCGGCAGCGGCCAGCTGCCCCCTGTGCTGTGGGAGCTGCAGGGCCCTCTCTACACAGGGCTGCACAGGGTGGGTGGAGGTGCTGGCGGGGCGCCTGCAGGTGGGGTGTGTTGATGACGGGCTGCCCCCAGGGCCGAAGCCAGCGTGGCTGGTGCTTTGGGACCCGCGGGGCCAGCTCTACACAGGGCTGTGCAGGGTGGGCGGTGGTGCTGGTGGGGCGCCTACAGGCGGGGTGTGTCAATGGTGGGATGCCCTCTGGGACCGGAGCTGGCACGGCTGGTGCTTTGGGAGCCACAGGGCCAGCTCTACACGGGGCTGCACAGCGTGGGTGGTGGTGCTGGCGGGGTGGCTGCAGGCAGGGTGTGTTGATGGCGGGCTGCCCCCGGGCCGGAGCTGGCATGGCTGGTGCTTTGGGAACCGCGGGGCCCACTCTACATGGTGGGCTAGCGGTGCTGGCGAGGCGGCTGCGGGCGGGGGTGCGGCAGGCAGTTGACCGTCCATGGGCTGGGCCAGCTTTTATGATATTTTTTCTTCAATTTATTTGTGTCCTTCTTTTCATTGTAAAAAAGTTGTTCACCTTAAAAAACAGAACTGCAGTTGTCCAGAGAGTTCATTGGCTGCAATGACATGTGAATTGGGTGTCAAATTTCAAGAAATATGAGATCCAAAACAAAAATAACAGTAGTTCACAACAGATGAAATACAGATTTGGAATTTGGTTAGTGTCTCCATATTTTCCTCTAATTTTGTGTTTGAATTTCATTTGTGAATTTCCTTAAATAATTATGAACACTTAATTATTTTTATGAAACTGTATATGGTAAGTGGCATAGTATTTTGCTGTTAAGTAGTGTTTAGTATTAGCAGCTCCTATCATTCTGACATCACAGCACTTGCAAGAAAACTAGGTTTCTCAAGGGAAATACTCAAAATAGGAAATGTGTTTTGCTCTGAGCTTGGAACAAAAACAATCCATTTAAAAGCTATACTTTAATAGTTTACATCAGCTTGTTCCATCTAAGGACATTTTTTTAACAAATTGAATATTTTATTCCAGACTTCAGATCAAACTTTCTCACTTGAAACAGTCCATTTTGAAAAGAGAAAAAAAAAGTTTTAAGATAGAATGCCTTAGATTTTTTTAGAACATTAACTCTAAAAACACTGCTGTTCAGAATGGTTTTCTTCTGCAATTGGAGTAAAACAACAACTTTTGTTGTGATCTCACAATAAAAATTCCCGAACACAGAACTTTTGCATTATATGTGAAATGCTCAAAATGGCAAAACAGCCTGAATCCAAAATGTGTTGCACAATTCCCCAATTTTTAGGATTCAGTTTGCAAAAAGAGAGTGGAACGATGACCTTCATATCCCTTCAGGTATGGAGGGCAACTTCCTTCTATGGAAAACTTTTATTCATATTCTATGAATTCATATTTCAAGCTCATATTGAATGGGCTTCCTGCTGAAGCAAGATATTCAGACAGATTATGAAAATAGGAATGGAAGTTCAGAGATTACAAATTTAGATAATGTCTTATGTAAACTGGCATAATTTCAAAGGTTATAACAGATTTTCCAGAATTATTATGAGACAGATGACAAGAGAACCACCCAGCAATGAGAGACAAAATAAAAAGAAATAGGAATACTAAGCAGTGGAGAAAAGAAAGACTATGATGTAACAGCCAGTAGTGGGATTCAGCCGGTTCACCACAGTTCAGCAGAACTGGTAGCTAAATTTGGCTGCATTCGGAGAACTAGCTGGCTTCCAGAAGCCCAGTCTAGACCTCCCAGGCCTAGAACGGCCCACCAGAAGTGTGTGGATGCCATGTCCGGAAGTCTGTTCTAGGCCTCGGAGGCCCAGGCCTGCACTGAATAAGAGAACCGGCTGTTCAGCTATTTGAATTCCACCACTGGTAACAGCTATAGGACAAGAAATAAGCTAAAAATTACAAATTGGCCATTAATTGGAAAAAGATGTTGGGGTAAGACCAAGAAGATATAAGTTCACTTTTCTACTTGCCCACAGCCATCAATGGGTGACAATGGGATGGTCTGCAGCTGAGACAGACTTATGTCACAAGCTTTTTCTTGGACAATAAAATGAGATGATAGCCCTTGTGTACTAATGTTGAGTTTTAGAAAGATAGATGAGACATAAAGTGAAAATTGAATAAAGGTATTTAACTAATTGATGAATGGGAAGGAGAGTAACCTGGATCTCATGAAGGGTGGTTTAAGCAGTGCAGATACTCTTGACAGCCATAGACTCCTAATCTTGTAGGACAGACAAAATAAGGTGACATGAAGCCCGAAATGTTCTTTATAGATAATAAAAAACTTCATTTAAGGAAGGCAGGGAAAAACTCTGAAGGATGGAAAGCAAGGTGGGTAAGAGGAAGATAGCTTTAAAATAGCCCAACTTCCTACCTTTAGCAACTTCTGTTCCTAGTCTACACTTTCACCATGAGTAGAAGTAGTGTATACCTTTTTTTAATGAAAATTATCAGCACTTTTGATCAGTGACGTCATCAAAGTAAACAAACCCACGTGCTGATTACGTCAGCAGGTCATGGCCCTAAAAGGAAGTGACGTGCTTAGCCCCCACCCTCCGGATGTGACGTTTTGGCCTAATCCCATCAAGATTGGCAGTCAATCCTCTGGGTACATGATTAGGTTAACCCTAGACTAATTCTATGGACATTCAAAACCAAAAAGAGCTAAGTAAAGTGAATAATTAGCAGAGGCCTGTGTTTTTAGGAAACAAGCCCTACTTTGGGGAGCTGTGAAATAAAAAATAAAAAAGGCTTTTTATATCTAATCATTCTAGCCTAACGATGCTTTTAATTTTTGTGGAGTTTTAAAAATCAGTGCCTCAAAAGCTAGGGAAAAAGAAGCCCCTGAAAGGCAGCCAGAGCCTGCATTTAACCCCTTTTTTTCTAAAAGATATTTTTTTCTGAAAGGTATTTATTTCTAGGTGGCTTTAACAGCATTTCCTCGAATGCAGGGGAAAAAACAAACAAACCACAGCTCCTTTTAAAACCCAGAGCTGGTTTTTACCTTTGTAAAAAAATCTAAAGACACATATTTTTCCATTTGCACCCTGAATAAAATTTATTCTTCCCCCCTCCCCACTATAGCAAAAGACAAGGAATATTAACAGGAATTAAAATGCTCACAAGAGGCAAGCAGCCAACCAGGCTCACAAGAGGCAAGCAGCCTTGCAGTAGGGTTTTAAAACTTGTTCAGGCATGACAGGACTGCAATTCTGGGCATGCGTGTTTCTGTCTGTCTGCTAGTAAAAAAAAGGGGGGTTAGGCCTTGTTTGGGACGTGCCCGGGCATGTCATGCTCCCTGTGATCTGGGCATGCGTAATGCTCAAGGGCGTATCATTGCAAGGGACAGGGGAGTTTGTGCGGGGCAGGGACATGCCTGGGCATGTCATGCTCCCCGTGATCTGGGCATGCGCAATGCTCAAGGGCGTGTCATTGCAAGGGGCAGGGGAGTTTGTGTGGGCAGGCCTGAACAGCTAGCGATTTAAACCCAGCAGTCTTTTGAAGATGTCAACCTCTGATTCCAAAGCTGTTTTTACGCCAACAGCAAAAGATAGCTTCGGACACTCTGATACAAGGCCCCAGCCAGCAGAATGCAACAAAATCTGTTGCATGGATTATGATAAAGAAAATTTTTTATTCAGACCTGTGTTGCATGGCTGTAGCATGGTGTGTTGTAACTTTAATGATGAGATGCAGAGTACTTACCGGACAGTCTGTGAAATCGTGAATGATACTACATTATCTCCCAGCAATGGTAAGTAAATATGTTTTTATTTATGATAATGTAAATGATGCTGGAGCGGATACACCGCTAACAGGATGTGCTTTATATTTTGCAGACTCTGAATTAGTAATACCTAGACAGCAAACACTTCAAGACACCCCGCTTTTAGATTCCTGTTGTAATCGCCGTGGTCAGAAAGCTTCTGCAGATTTTTCTGATCTAGACTATAACATGGATTATGAGCTATCCCAGAGACC